TCTTTCTTTAGTGCTCTCACACATTCTTCTTCTTTTGGCTTGTCTTTCCCTGTTAAAGAGGTGTGGTGTCATCCTATACCTCCTAAGGTTGGGAGTTTCTGTTGGGAAGCCTTTCTGGAAAGAGTTAACACAGCAGATTTACTTCAAAGAAAAAGACCCAATAATTGTTTTTGTCCTCACTGGTGTGTCCTCTGTAAAGCTGATGATGAGTTCGGATATCACTTACTAATCTCCTGTTGGTTCACTAACATCATTTGGGAGTGGTGTACTTTGTTTGGGTGCAGGTGGACCCCCCTTCGAATGTGCAAAGACTATTCACATTTATGCCGTTTCGGCCAACAAAAAGGGCCAAGTTTATGTGGAGGTGTATGAGGGCTGCAGTCTGTTGGACCATTTGGGAGGAGAGAAATTCACGAATATTTATAGATAAGGGGAGAAGTTTGGAAGCAATGCTGGAAGTCATCCACATTAGGGTTATACACTGGCTGAAAACCTTGGCTCTGTTCGCAGAATTCTCAGTTGATGAGTTGCAAAGAATGTGGAAGGAGATAGCAGAACTTGTTCCAATGAGGAAGGCCTCAAATGTTTGTTGGATCCCCCCACCCCATGACTTTGTTAAACTGAACTTTGATGGCAGCAGCTTGGGCAATCCAAGGCCATCCAGAATAGGAGTAGTAATAAGAGGTGAACAAGGGAAGCTGTTAGCTATGTATTCTGGACCAGTTGGGGAGGGAGATTCTTTGAGAGCTGAGATTCTTGCAGCTCTTGAAGGGGTACAAAGAATCAAGGATATGCATATTGACAAGTTGATCATAGAAGGAGATTCTGAAGTGGTGGTAAACTGGCTGAAAGAGGATAGTCTTAGACTTTGGAATTACAGTAATGAAAAGAGGAAATTCAAATGGCTGACAAAGGACATGGAAATCCAATACAAATAGGTAAAAAGAAGTGCGAACTCTTTGGCAGATGGTCTAGCTAGACAAGGGGTGGACAGACATTCTATTTTTTGGGCTGTCTTGTAATTTTTGTTCTTTTGATGTTTAATGGTTGTTCTTGGGAGCTAAGATTGTTTAGCCCCCTTGCCCTGTAATTTTCTCATATTTTTTTGATATTAATTCAATCCACAGTTATTGATAAAAAAAATGTGTGTTTTTTTCTTATATAGTAGTTGATGTTCTCTAAATTTGTTGCCAAATATATAAAGGCAGATTCAGTGCCTTCCCCACCTTTCTTTCTCTCTCATGGCCCTTATTTAACATTGGCCTTTTATTCTCAGGAGAAGCTTTTTTCAAGTAAAAATAGAACAGAGGTTGCAGTTGGAAAAAAGTTAAAGAACGACATGCTTCCTGAGATTGAGAAGATACACAAGGTGTTTTACCTATTCTTTAGATTTATTTATTAATTTTTTAGTTGGGTCTATGGATCTTCCACATTTCGTGCTCTGAAGAGCCATAAACACCCCCTTTTGGCACAGAGCATAATGGAAGTTGCTTTCTCCTTTTGTTTGTTTACATGGTTAAGGGCTTAATACAGTAACAATTAATTGTATTCTGTAATTACTGTTACAGAGGAAAGAGAGACTGCTGAAAAAACAACATCGACAAGCCCTACTTCTTGATAACTATTTGAATGTGGATGGCCTTGCTGCAGGACGCTCTCTTCGTGACAGAAAACCCGTTACCTATACATTTGGTAAGAGGAATGAATTAACCCATCAAAGAAAAATTTATGTGTAAGTACAAAATGTATATTGTTTACTTCTTCTCATCTAACCCCCTGAAACAGCACCATTCGCAGATGATATAACCTATATCACAATATGGGTTTATGAAATTGATTACCATAACATGCCAATATTGCAGATAATCTAAGCTGAACCTTGCCTATACTGGTGCTATGTCAGGTGTTATAAAGAATTAAATCTATAGCTAATTCAATTTTTGTGAAAAATAATTAAAATGGAGGATGTACATTATCTTGGCCTTTTTTTGATCAATAACTGAATTTCACACAAGATCTTGGCCTTGTTGGATAGATAATTGAAAAACCTTTCCATTGACACCAAAATCAATTAAAGCAGATAAGTTTTAACTATTTTAACTTGGACTGCAACACTGGGAACTTCTTGTGTTGCACCCCTCTCTTTTGAATTATTTTTATGTTGTATAAACTAACTGTATATTTTCCTACTGAAAAAAACTCGGACTGCAATAAAAACTAATTTGACCCTTTAAGATGAGTAACCACATTCCGAGGACACCAACAAACTAGAAAACAAATTTTAAAAAACTCATGTTACCAATAAATGATCTTTTATTGGTAAACTAATCGGTATATTATTAAGGTGTTTTTATTGTTCAGTCCACCCCAACAAATCTTTTCTCCACCGTGCAGTTGGGGTAGGTGCCAGCTTGGAATTGATGCCAATACACGGGCGGGTATTGGTGTTATAGGTGGGGGTATTTGAAATTTTGAATTGTTGTAGGTCTGCAGTGGAATTTAGAATTCTGAGGTGGAGTGCAGTATAGTTTTTTCTATTATTAATGCTAAAATGAATGGAATTGATAAAAAATGCTATAAAAGAATGGATACAGTCTAGAATTGTTCCAAGCCCCTTCAGTATTATGCTTGCCCCCACCACATAACCCCCTTACACCATCTTGCTTAACAAATTATATTCTGAAAATGTCTGGGATACCCATGTCCTATCCATCTACAGAATTTTTGGAAATGGAGAGCCATATCTTTGTTTCCTGTATCTGTGCCTATGTCTGTATCATATCTGGGCATCATAGATTCTAATAACTCCTTGTCTGGCTGGCCAACAATATCATCTAGTGTTTTGGCTAACCTACTGGTCAAGTTAGGGCTGCAACTGATGGGATTGAATCAGATATACCTAGATCGAACTTTGATTCATTGATATTTGGATTTGCATTGAATCTTATCCATAGGATTTATATAAGGCACAGTTCAGTCTTGGATATTGAATATTATTAATAAGAAAACTAAAAAATGATAAAAATATTTTATGCTATTAATATAATTGACTAAAAGTGACTTTAATATGAAGTTAATTGAAGGAACCTAGGAGTAGCTCCAATAGGTGGCAAAATGAGAGAAAGTAGACTAAAATGGTTTTGTCACATGCATAAAAAACCATTGATAGCACCCGTAAGAAGAACGATCTGTTGCAAGTTGAAGGGGCTACAACTACAAGGGCTAGGGGAAGACTGAAAAGGACATGGAACGTAGTAAGAAATGATTTAGGGGGTGTTCTGTTTGTGGTTGTGTTTGTTTTTTGTAGAGAAGATGGGCCGAATGGCCCATAGGCTGTTTATCTTTTTTTATCTTTTTATGTTCTTTGCTGTAATGGGCCTTACTCTGGGCTTATTCTTTCTTATGTTAGGGGGTGTTCTGTTTGTGGTTGTGTTTGTTTTTTGTCGAG